ACACTGTATATTATGAATATTAAGTTATGGATATTTATGTCTTCTGGCTTTATTAACTACTTTGAACTTCTTCTAAGCATTTTTGATTCAGGGATCAATTCTGGCTCTTTCCCTTACAGTATTCCTCCACTCAGCACTCACAGTTTCTCAGTATCTCTTTTCTGTTTCTCCAGCCTGGTAACAATATGGAATTTTAAATGTCTATCTTCACAATTCTGTATCATAGGGACTGCACTTAACCCTTGTCTAAAAGCCACAGATATGGGAATCTACTCATATAACTCCCTGTAGTTCCTCTTTCAGCTGAATGTGTACTCCCCACTAGAGTCTGTCTGCTTCTATTCACTCTCCAGTACCTTCGGGTAGTTGATTTTTTGGTATTTTGTCCAGGTTGTATTATTTTTTACTCTGTGGAGGGTGCTGTTGAATAGACTATTAGTCCATTACACTCAGAAGTGGAACTGAAAATTGAATCTTGATACTTTGAGACTGAAAGTGGCTACCAAAATACGTGGCTTGGGTAGAAACTGGAGCATCTGTTTGATAGAGATAATTTCTTTGTGATACTTCAAATTGTCTGTGCTCTGAAGATTGCATGAAGTGTCATTACCAAAATTTTCATTGAGAAAGTTCCTTTTCCTGGAAATTTATTAAGTTAAAATGTTTTATTTCACAGATACTTAGCTATAGAAATTTAATGATTTTTTATCTTTTATATTTAAGGTTGTTCATCGTGATCTTAAGCCTAGTAATATTTTGTACATGGATGAATCAGCCAATGCAGACTCCATTAGGATCTGTGATTTTGGGTTTGCAAAACAGCTTCGAGGAGAAACTGGACTTCTCTTAACTCCATGCTATACTGCAAACTTTGTAGCACCTGAGGTATGCTTTATAACTTCATATAATGCTATATATATATACAATATGGTAGGAAGGTAAAAACTGAGTTATCTTGTTCTTCCCCAACTATAAAGCTCTTTATATCACTAAATTCTCATTATCCATAAAATAAATATTCACACTAGTAACTAGTATCTGAAACCAGCCTGAATATAATAATCAGACTATTTTATTTTGTGGATTATGTACTAGTTAAAGAATCATACCATTTTAGAGCTGGGATGGAGAGTTAGAAATAACCCCACCTTTGACATATAAAATATTCTAAACCTTCTAGGAAACTGAGACTGTTGCTTAAAAAGCATATTCAAACACAGAATTCACTTATTAACAAAGACAGAATAGATTTATGTCTATATTTGCTTTGTACTGGACATGAGGTATTGTTTAATTTTCCACATTACATCAAAGGGTAGTAACAATCCTGATTATCTTCAGGATCTTCTCATTCCTAGGAAAAAAAAACAGGTTCACAGGGTGTTCCCCCCCACCAATAAACAGTTGAGATTTTTCTTTCTTGTCATATAACATTCATACATATGTCTTAGAGAAAAAACTCAGGAAGGGCAAGGCTAGAGAGGTTCTTGGGTTCAGGTTTCACATTTTGCAAGGTCCAATACAGTTATAATCATGGGGATATAACTTTTGGCAGTGGCAACTCCCACAGTGAAACTATGGCTGATAAAAAAAAAAAATCAGGGATGGCATTAGCCATATATAATAGATTGTTTATAAGGTTTTTGTGTAAGTTAGGAACTGTTCTTAGGTTATAAATAATGCTAACTCATATGAATGGTTGTATATTCAATACCAAATAAAATACAAAAAAAATCTTCACGCTTCTGATTTGAGTTTTTTTCAAGTTAGAAAAGAGGAAGATAATTTGAGGATGAATTCCATTCTCATGGGCATGTTTTCTGATTTTATTTTTATATCAAATACTAGCTCTTTCAGGATAATCTTGCATATTAGATATAAAATAATCCATTTGTATTTAAATATCAACAAAACTTTATTTTTGTGTAGCTATTAGAAAAATAGTATTTTGGGTCTCCCTGGTGGCACAGCGGTTGAGCACTGGGCTGTGAAGCTGCCCGCAGCCTCTGCAGTGCCAGTTCCATCCCCGGCCGCTGGTGAGGGTCCCACATGGCGTGACAGACCTCTCATGCTGTGCCTGCTGCTCCCCTCAGCAGTGTACTTTGTCGGTCTGCCTGTTCTGCTCCTTGCTCTGGCTCTGGTGAATTCTCTCACCCTCCCACGCTTCTGACTGTACCCAGTGCTTGTATAAATAAAATAAATAAATCTTTAAAAAAAATCTCTTAAATAGACTAAATTTCCTTTAAGATATTGAGGAAAAAGAATAGCATCTTTTTTATAAGCTATTCATAAGAGATTTATCCATGAGAAATTATGTACATTTGTATGTTTTTATTAAATTAATAAAATGGATGTATAATTTTTTGTTGAATTACAATATATAGAAAATTAGATTTCCCAGAATAAAATTAGGAACATGTACATGACCCAGCAAAGGGGTTCTGACCCTAGTATAAGAGACAGAACAGACATAAAAATAATTAAATTTCGGGCCTCCCCTGGTGGCGTAGCAGTTGAGTGCTGGGCTGCGAAGCCGCCTACAGCCTCTGCAGCACCAGTTTACTCCCCAGCCACTGGCGAGGGACCCACATGGCACACAGATCTCTCCTGCTGTTCCGGCTGCTCCCCTCAGCAGTGTACTTCGTCAGTCTGCCTGTTCTGCTCCCAGCTCTGGCTTTGGTGAATTCTCTCACCCTCCCACGCTTCTGACTATACCCAGTGCTTGTATAAATGAATAAATAAATAAATCTTTTTTAAAAATTAACTTTCTCTAATGTTTCAATGGTTTTAAAGGATAATCAGACAGAGTGTTTGAGATTAAGACTTTTCTGTTAAATATAGAATGATATATAGTCATCATAAGTACATATACTATATGTAGTAAACGTAACAGAAAAGTATGGACTAACCATTTAATGGCAAGAGTCTTAATATTGACTTAATCTTATAGATCTGGACCCCTTAATATAATGAAAACTTCTAACAGGAAAGAGTTATGGATGAGTGTTTCTTAAATGAACATCTTATGAACATACCGCAGAATACTAGGCAGCTATAAAAAACAAGAGGTACAGGCTTATACCTGTTCAGATGTATGTTACCACAGCACACCCACTACCAAGATACCCATAGTAATTGTAAAATTGCCCTGCTTTGCTGGTACTCAGCTGTAGTACTTTTGCTATAAATATGAATTAATTTGAACTTTAGAGCAAAGTGAATGATAATCTCCATCTGTGTAACTTGTTGCTATTTTGGGAAGTCAAATAAGTATAAAGGTAATGGCATTAACTACTTTAAATTTTACTTTTCATATTCAACTTTCTGCAAATAAGTCATAAAACACACTTTCTGCACTATACTCTTTTATTCATCCCACCACCTTGCCTTGTTTCTTTTATGATTGTTATGTTTTTGCTATTATACAGCATTGAGACCTGCTTAGAATAAATGGGTTGCCTATTCTTTACACATATAAAATGAATTTAAATGGTAAATCTAAAACAAGTTTTTTTTTCTTATTGTTGGTCCCAATTAGATTCCAGATTCCCAATTCTTCTCTTTAACTAGGAAGTGCATCAGAATATGAAATATTATAGCTCACTTACTTATTAAGCCTCACTCATAACAACTAGCCTCCTAAACAGTCCCTCCACCTTGTTCTGTGCATTGTATCATTGTCCTAACACAACAGCAGAAAATGAGCAAGAGATAATGGGAAAATGAAAGAAATAGGAGAAAAAAGCCAGAGGGATTTATGGTTTACTAAAGGATACAATCTTGTGTTTACTATGATGGTTAGCTGTACTTCTTTATTTATTAGGGCCTTTGAAGTTCCTACTTGTGCTTTTAAATAAAAGTTATAGAGGTATTTTTATAGCCTATTCAGCTTCTCAATTTTATACGTGTGTGTGTGTGTGTATAGTATAGCAAAATACCATTACCTCAATTTCTAAGTTAGATACTCATTATGTATGTCCCACAAACATTAATATTTTTTTACTATTTATAAATGAAATTTCCATATTGGTGGTTATGTAATCACCAGTATTAATGCATTAATGTTTCTATTTTGTATCTATGCCTAAACACTTCTAACAATCTCTATTAATTTCTGAAAGAAAATTCACATGAATATATAATAATCCTGTTATTTGATCTTTAGTAGCACTAACCCCAAGAGCAAAAAACAGCTACCTAAATTATTGTATGAAAATTAATGAAATCATTCAAAATTTTTCAAATGTGTATTTCTGATCCAGTAATATACTTTCTAAGACATGAGACTTGTATGTAAAATATAAGATCATACATTATTATCTCTCATATAGTAAGGACACAATTATCATAGATGCTAAAACCACAGGTTCAAGAGTAAGAATACCTTTTCCACTACTTACTAATTTTGTGATATTGGGAAAATTAATATTTGCTTTGTTTTTCTCATCTTAAAAGTGGCAATAATATCTACTTCATAGTGTCAGTGGCAGGATTATTAAAAGACAGTTTTATGTAGTATATATTAGGCTCTCTATATTTATTAATCTTAAGTTTTGATGTTTGTGTCTGAATTTACTTAGAGGAGGAGTGAAAGCTCATTGAGGTCAGGGATTGTACATTACAAGGTTGTTTTTTTTGTATGGCCCATGTTACTTAATCACTTTTTTAATAACCACTTATTGAATGCTCGCTACTTGCAGAAGAGTTTGTCTTTAACATTAAATGAATTATTTTGAGAAGACTAAAGTGATTTAACTTTTAAATTTTGAACATTTGTGATATTATTAGAAGCAATACTTTCTTTTTGATGAGAAAATTTAGTTTATACTGAATAATACCAGATAATAAGTTTTTTTCTCTCAGGTTCTTATGCAACAGGGCTATGATGCTGCTTGTGATATTTGGAGTCTGGGAGTCCTTTTTTACACAATGTTGGCTGGGTAAGAAATTTGTATACTCAAAATAATTCACATCATTTAAAAAAAATTTCACCTGTCTGTTTTCATCTAGAAAGACAACTGATGAATATAATCTTAAGGGAAATACTATCAGCATTTAAAAATATTATATGTTGTTTATTTATAAATAAAATTTTAGAACATAAAATAAGTTTTTTAATAAGGCATTGCAAAGATATTTAGTTTCAGTTTTCTTAAAGTAAATCATATATTTTATTTTGATATTTTACATTGAGTTCATTACTTTTTGATTATGTTTCCTAGATCATAAAATAATGCCATAATTCAACAGGTACTTACCCTCCAAATCTGTTGATAAATTGAGTTGATTTTTTGAATTTTTTTAAGTGTTTGAATACTGGCTTTCCTGGCAATAGAGGTTTAGTAAGATTGAGCTTTATAACAGAAAACTAAACCACAGAAATATACACAGCAAAAAAAGTAATTATTGTATTATATTAATATTTGTTATTTATAAATAATGCAAGTGTTGTTTTAAAATAGGTAGCACTTTTATTTAGAAGTGAAAATTTATGGGTTCTAGAAATCATTCTAGAATTGTAGAGAAAAAGGCTGGGGTTATCAAATTCTAATGCATAGAATGAAACTTAAAAAATTACATTTTAATTATAATGTGTTTTGATGTGACTTTTTAAAGATTTAGTATAATTGAATTATGCTTGAATCAACAGGAGCTTTATAAATATGTTATGAAAATTGTGATTCAATTGCTTATGGGCTTGGTGATGGTAATGTAGTCAGTGTATTCCACCACTTTTAGATATGTTACAAACTTAAGCAGATGATTTAGATACAGACCACAAGTACTAAATTTAAGGGTAGTTTAAGTTTGCGTATGAACTGCAGTCAGCATTGTTGTTTTAAACCTTAGGATACCTTTTCTAGTTATTTTGAAATATTTACTTTATGACTAAACAATACATGATTTTGTGTTTCTGTGTTGAGTGTGTATGTGTTTATCTCAGCTTAATTGTTACATGAGGGAACTAGGACTTTAACATATTAAGACATCCTCCTCATACATTGTAACCTAAGTCTTTCCATTCCTATATTTAAATGCCATTTTCTTTTTCCATCTATTAAAGTGGTACAAACTGATCACTTTTTGTCATTCTATAATAAATTTTTAATCTTTTGAAACTTTATGTAAATACTTATTTTCCTGTCTGAATATATTATATTGACATAATAATCTTAATAACTATAGATGTTTTGTTATGTTGATATGAATATTCACATAATCTGTTTTTCACAGACATTAATTTAAAATATTTTAACCTCTTTCCATTTATATTATTGACAAAATACTAATTCATACATTTGAACCAATACAATAAATGCATTATAAATATACAAAATTAACAATTTCTTCATAGTAGGTATATTTTTGGCTAAATCATGTCTGGAAGAATACAAAATTTGCATGTTTTATTCTGGTCAGATTTTAATATTGTACATACAGTATTAAAAACCATCTTTATTTTATTTTATATTGATAAGCTGATCAATTGATCATATGAATATGTAAAATATATTATTTGATCTTTATTATTGATTTTTAATGACACTAGCCACAGGTCAGAGAAAACAATTATTGATGTAGACAAAACTCTCAATTTAATTAAATTCGCTAGGATTTTTATTTTTTGAAATATAAAGTTTGTTCACAGTGAAGGGAAATATTAGATAATATCCTTTGTTTGTTGTAGTTAATATTTGCATGTGCCTTTATATCCATCACTTTCACCTCAATTTAATATGTATTTTATGCACTCCTATCTGTTAAAATCTATTTTATTAATAGCTACACTCCATTTGCTAATGGCCCCAATGATACTCCTGAAGAGATACTGCTGCGTATAGGCAATGGAAAGTTCTCTTTGAGTGGTGGAAACTGGGACAATATTTCAGATGGAGCAAAGGTATAAATTATAAATATATTTTGTCTTATGTTCATTTAATTTTTTCTAGGAATGGTAGGTAAACAAAAAATATACAAATACATAAATTACAAATGCATGTTTAAATGTGTGACTTTTTGGCCACTCTTATTTTTAAACTCATTTATCCTTTCTAAGTGTACCTTTTTTTTTAAGATTTTTTTTATTTATATAAGCACTGGATACAGTCAAAAGCGCGGGAGGGTGAGAGAATTCACCGGAGCCAGAGTGGGGAACACAACAGGCAGACTGACGAAATACATTACTGAGGGGAGCAACAGGCATGGCAGGAGAGGTCTGTTGCGCCATGTGGATCTAACATGGCAGCCGGGGATCTAACTGGTGCTGCAGAGGCTGAGGGCAACTTTGCAGCCCAGTGCTCAACCACTGCGCCACCAGGGAAGGCCCTCTAAGTGTACCTTCTTATTGAAGTTTTTTATGATAACTCTACTTTTTGATATGGGAATCTAGAAGTATTATCACTAAAGAACAGTGTCCTGTGAATTCCAACAGATACTTTATTTTTTATTGCTGCTGTATTGGAATTAATTGCTGATTACCAAGGTCATCTTATCAAAGACATCCTAGATTCCTCTGAGTAGAGCAAACTTGTTGGTTAGATTTTCTCTCAACTGAGTGATTTTTTTTTTCTATCTTATGTCTTTCATGGTATTTTATTACACATTAAAAAATGATTGTATGTGAAATGAATGTCTTCTCTATTCCACTGAAATCTCCATGAATGTAAGAAGTACTTCTGGTTTGTTCATCCTTTTATCTCTGGCACCTATCATGGTATCTAGCATAGATCTGGATATCTGCTCAATAAATAGTTGCCAAATGAATAAATGAAAGAGACCTCTGACAAGGCTGTTTAATAAAGCTGACAGTCTTAAGTAGTTCAAAAAAGGACTGGTTACATACCTATGGCATATCGGAATCTATTGAATATGAGTTCATTGTGCACAATGCCATTTTATGTTTTTTTCAATAGTGTATATGGAAAGATAATACTAGAAAAACTATAAAAAAGAGAAAACAAGATCTGATGAAAAAGGAAATACATAAAATATCATTTTTTTTAAATCCTCCAACAAAATGCCTGTGCTCCTACCCCATCTGCCTCCTTCCCCCATGTGTTCATGTTAAGTTGCTAAAACCTTTAAGTTTTAGTGCAGTCTGTACTAGGAAAGTATCTGATGATATTATGTCAATATTTATTTCTAATGAACATTGTACGTGTAGACTGATCAATACAGAAGACTTTTTCTGCTGTTTCTAGGCTATATTTCTCTCTTTATTAATTCATATGTGTTCAGGGAATAAAAAGTAGTTTCAGTATTAACCAAAACTACAAATGTAAATCTACTGAGGAAAAGTACATATTTATAGCCAACTAATATTGATTTCTGCATTTAGTGTTTATTCATTTCCTTAGCACAGGCATTGGCTATTGGTTATGTAGGCAATTTTTATAATGTTAACTTATTCTTAGAGTATATATGAAATATTTATTGGTATCACCTAGATATTTTTGTGCCTTAGAGTTCTCTAGTAGAAATTTGATACAAGGCACATGCGTAATTTGAAAATTTCTGGTAACCACATTAAAAAGCAAAAAGTATTAGGTGAAATTAACTTTAATATTTAACCTGGTATACCCCAAATATTTATTTTAAACATTAATCAATATAAAACATTAGTGAAATATTTCACATTCATCTTCATACTTAATCTTGAAAACCTTGTATGTATTTATACTTACAGCCAATCTGAATTCAAATTTACCAACGTTTTTGGTGGCTGTTGTATTAGATCTCACAATTTAAGAGTAACCAGCATTAATTTAGGGGAAAAATGATCAATCTTGACTACTAATTTCTTAAATTTATAATTCTAAAATTTCAGATTCAAAATAAAGACCCAAATGTTCATAGCCTGTGGCTTATTGGGCACTGAGACTTTTAAGCTATAATTTGTTTGTTTGTTTTTAAAGATTTATTTATTTATTTATTTATTTATTTATTTATTTATTTATTTATTTATTTATACAAGCACTGGGTACAGTCAGAAGTGCGGGAGGGTGAGAGAATCCACCAGAGCCAGAGGGGAGAGCAGAGCAGGCAGACTGACGAAGTACACTGCTGAGGGGAGCAGCGGGTGGCAGGAGAGGTCTGTGGGCCATGTGGGACCCTCCCTGGCGGCCAGGGATTAAACCAGTGCTGCAGAGGCTGCGGGCAGCTTCACACCCTAGCGCTCAACCACTGTGCCACCGGGGAGACCTTAAGCTATAATTTTAAGTAGAAAACATTTTAAGACAAGGGCCTCCCTGGTGGCACAGGCGGTTGAGCGCTGCACTGGGAAGCTGTCTACAGCTTCTGCAGCTCAGATTCGATCCCCGCAGGCTGGTGAGAATCCCACATGGGGAAGCAGACCTCTCCTGTCTTACCAGCTGCTCCCCTCAGCAGTGTATTTCGTCAGTCTGCCTGTTCTGTTCTCCACTGTCTCTGGTGACTCCTTTCATCCTTCTGCACATCTGGCCTGTACCCCAGTTCTTGTATAAAAATAAATAAATCTTAAAAAAAATTGAGACAAAACGAATTGCTTATGTTTGATAATTGCTAATAATAACATTTAGTTGTCTCAAAAACTCTAGTTAAGTGCCTCCCTGATGGCACAGGGGTTAAAGACAGCTCTATCAAGCTATCACCAGCCACTGCAGCATGAGTTTGATCCCCAGCCAGTCAGGGAGCAACCCACATGACCCAGCAGACCTCTCCTGTCTCACCCGTTTCTCCCCTCAGCTTTGTATTTCAGTATATCTGCCTGTTCTGTTTCCTGCTCTGTCTCTGGTGAATCATCTCAACTCGTGCACCTCTGTCCAGTACCCCAGTTCTTGTATGCATAAATAAATGAATCTTTAAAAAAAAAACTAGTTAATCTTTAGGGTATATAAGAGAGTAAATCTCATTTCCTGATCATTAAAGAAATAAATAAGTCAGGGATTTGTCCTTATCTTTTAAATATTAGAAAATCAGAGAAGAGATTGCATTTGGGTATTAGTCATAACATAAGTGTGCTGTGTGGTGTAGTACTAGGAATAGCTGATTGGAAGCCAGGAGTACTACTAATCCCTGACCTACTAAGTAGCTGCTTCAGTTTTTCTCAACTCTAAAACTTGGGGTCTTAATTCTTCTTTTGTTTCCTTCTTTCTCCCAAATTCTGTTTCTATGCAATTTTATTAATTTCAATTTGTCAAATATCCCCTTAAAGTGACTGAAACTATTTGTGTTATTTATTAAATATATGTATTTTCTTGTCAGCCAGTTTGCATCAGAAAATCCATTTCCTAGGGATCAATCCCAATGTTTAAATCTGTCCATATTATCCTCTTGCATTCCTTAAAAACAACAGCAATGTGCACAATGAATATAATGCTGAAATATTTAAAGATTTATATACTAATTATACTTAGGAGTTTCGTGTTTCCCTATTCTATATTTGTATCTGTCTGATACTTAAGGAATAATATATGTTAAAGTTTAATAAACATCTCACCCCCTATTTTAGTATGATATTCTAGAGAAGTTCACATAAGAAAATATTTTGAGGAATATTGTTGAAATATTTCACAAGATCTTTAATGTCCCTTTTTATGGATTAAGTGACTTTAGTTCTGTCTTTGAGACTTTTTTTAAAAATGGTGGCATGTTACTGAGAAAAGTTGCCTTATGATCCTTTAAAAAACTATCTCCTCTGTATTTTAACAGCTCAATTTTTTTTTTGGTTTGGTTCAAATTAGTGATGAAATTAAACACTTTTTCAGTTGTCCATAACCTCATAAATTAGTACCTTTTAGTTGTGAAAACTGGTATTTGCTGTTACTTTATAATACTTTTACTTAATCATAGTTCATTAAAAGCTTATTTTCCTTCAGAAGTCTGTTCTTGCTGTTGTTTATAAATTCCAAGGCCACCAATATAGAAGATAGATTCTAGTTATCTCCTGTCCACACAGAGTTCCTAGTCATTGTTTATTTAGTTACATTGTAGTGGGGATGATAGTGGAAGTCAGGTTCACCTTGTGTGTCTTACTGCTACAAAAATTTCAGTTAACTCCTTACCTCCAAATCCTAGACTTTGAGAACAATAGTATGGCTGCTTCCATTTTGTAAAACAGGAGACAAGTAGACTTTTGTAACCAAAGCAATAGCAGAAGAGGCAAGAGAGTAATGAAAATTTCTTTGTTACTCCATATTTAAAATAAACACAATACTGCCTGATTAATTAGACTGTTCTATCTAGTTGAGAATATGTTTAAATAAAACATTATTTCATGTACATGTTACTTATTTCAAGTATACCCTTGGTCAACAAAATATTGACCAGTGTAAATTCTTATGGAGCAGTAATTTATGGCCGCCTTCTTTGTCTCCTTTAAAAAGAGCAATTTTACTATTCATCTACTGTGTTTCCATTATTGCATTGTATGTATTTTTAAAAATAGAGAATTTATAATACTTCCCGTCATACATTCATCTGTGTATTTTTTATTCTTCTCACTTAGGAACCTTTAAATACCGTATTCATTTTTACACAATCCTATCATACCTAGCATAATAAATATTGATAGTTTTTCATAAGCTGTTTAATCTTTACCTATTGCATTGTCAATTTGCACAGTAAACTTTTTTTTTTCCGGTCCATCATATAAATGTCCTATTATAAATGACTATACATTTGAAATAAGTAGTCAGGTTTTTACATAAATATTTCCTTTCTATTTTGGCTTAGAATTGCCTTTTATTTGTTTGTCTTTGTTTACATTTTTATTTTACTTAATATTTTCTTTAAGGTAACATTGGTTTACAACATTGTGTATGATTCAGAAATATAGGCTCACACCTTTTAGATGTATTTCACCACACCGCAACCACCAACCATTGTCCTCTTATCATAGTGCATGTGACCCCTCCCACCTTT